AAAAAAAAAAAAAATGAGGCAAGGCCTCATAAAGCACAAACTGGCTCTGAACTTTTTCCTTTAAAAAAATTATTTACTTATTTAATGTGCATTGGTGTTTTGCCTGCATGTTTGTCTGTGTGAAAGTGCTGTATCCCCTGGAACAGGAGTTACAGACAGTTATGAGCTGCCATCTCGCCAGGCCCCTGGCCTTGAACTTTTGATGTTTGAACCTCCTGAGTATGGAGATTCCAGGCCTGTGCCACCATGCTCAGCTTTTAATAACTTTTAACCAGGTTGAAATCCTCCCCATGAGGGCTGGGGAGATGACTCAGCGGTTAAGAACACTGACTGCTCTTCCAGAGGACCGGGGTTCAGTTCCCAGCACCCACATGGCAGCTAACAACTCTCTGAAGATCCAGTTCCAGGGGATCTGACACCTTCACACCAGTGCACATAAAGTAAATAAACAATAAGAAATATATATATATATAAAAAAAAGAAATCCTCCCCGTGGCCACCGCCCAAAGACTTACCTGTAAAAATATGCTTCCCACTTTCTCTAGTTCACTGCTTCCAGATGTCACTGTGGCACAAAGAAAAGAACTCTAAGTGGCTGACTTCTTCTAAAGAGCTCACTATAGCAGGCTATCTGGAGCAGCCATGTCTGAGCGAACCCAGCACCAGGGATGGGGGTGGCTGAAGGCAGTCAGCTGGCTGCCCCCAAGATCTGTGGGGGCTGGTGAAATGGCACATGCTGCTCTTCCAGAGGACCCACACCCACATGGCAGTTTACAACTGTCTGTAACTCCAAGAGCTGACACCTTCTCACAAATATACATGTGGGCCAAACAACAATGCATATAAAATAAATAAATAAATTTTAAAAAGGAAGAGGGCTGGAGAGATGGCTCAGCGGTTAAGAGTACTGGCTGTTCTTCCAGAGGTCCTGAGTTCAATTCCCAGCATCTACATGGTGGCTCACAGCCATCTATAATAGGATCTGATGCCCTCTTCTGGTCTGCAGGCATATGTGCAGAACACTCATACATAAAATATAAATAAATAAAATAAAATAAAAAAAGAACAAGTCTTCCCCACCCAGGCTCTCAAAAGTCTCTGCAGTTTAGGCCTAGCACAGCTGAACATGTGACCAGGCATGGATCCATCTAGTTACCTCCAAATCGCCACTCCATATCAATCAGCTGGTTAATCATCAGGGTCTGACCTATGGCCCACTGTGCAAGGGTTGAGGCGTTCTGCTTCCACTGGAAGAAAAGCAAAGGCCAGTGTCATCAGAGTGGGAACCATCAGTCCCTATCCTCTGCTCCAAGCACAGCAGTGCTCAGGACTCAACAAAGAGGGAAGAAAGCAGAGCCAAGGGCAGAGTCTACCTACAGGCACGCACATATCCGGGACACGCAGGCTCTGAAGCCCAGCTGACTTGAAATTGCTCCGCAGCTGAGGCTGGCCTTGAGTCCCACTCCCAGTGCTGGGGTTATAGGCGTGTACCACTAAATTCAGTTAAAATTTTTCATCCCAAAATTTAATCCAATTGCAACAACAATGGCATTAATATTTGGTCAAGCCACAGGAAAAGAGAACAGGGCTTGCCCTAAGCAGGTGTGTCATTCCTGTGAGGCTGACTGGAGGGAGAATGGGATGGTTTTGTCTTGCTCTGCATTTTCCCCCTTTCCTTTCCTTTTCTTTCACGAAATAAAAGCCAGGGTCTTAACCTTGATTAACAGAATTATACCTTTTCAGAAAAGTAAGTGGCTTTCTCCTCACTGAGACCTGTAGGGAACAGAAAGGATAATTAACATAACAAAGAGCTCAAAGACTCGGAGACCTCCCCCTCCCCCCTCTGGCAACCTACCTAGAGTCAGGAGATCAGCCTGCACCTGCTCGGCAGTGAGGCCCTTCTTCAATGCACCTTGCAGGCAGGGGAGAAACCAGAAAGTGTAAATGAGTGCATGGGTCAGTAGGAAGGATCAGGTGGGCCCAACCTACGTGCCACAGAAGACAAATGCTATACACTTCAGGAGAAAATGCGGCCCTGCAGCCACTGTGGGGCAGGGCACAACCTCTTCACTGTCACTGCAGTGGAGTCAGTCGCCCTCAGGGATGCTGGACTGAGATAGAGACAACAGGAAAGGCTGTGTCTGAGACAGGTCGGTGGAGGGAAGAATGAGCGAGGCTACAGCCCTGGCTAGAGCACAGCAACCTGAAACAAAGTTTAGTTAGAACTGGAGTGCAGCCAGGCATGGAGGCGCATGTCTTTAATCCCAGCACTCAGGCAGGAGGCAGAGGCGGGCGGATCTTTGAGTTTGAGGCCACTCTGGTACACAGAGAGAGTTCCAGGAAAGTCAAGGCTACACAGAGAAACTCAGTCTCAAAAACCAAACCACCAGGACAGGCTCCAAAACCACAGAGAAACCCTGTCCCCAAAAAAAATCAAAAACCAAACCAAACCAAACCAAAAGCTGAGTGGGGTTTGAAGACAGCTTAGTTGGTCTCTCTGGAGCTGCGGGTACTGGGACCAAACTTGGGTCCTCTGGAAGAGTGGCAAGGACTCTCTTCTTTTGTTTTTTTGAGATGAACAGCTTTGGAGCCTGTCTGGGAACTTGCTCTGTAGACCAGGCTAGCCTCAAATTCATAGAGATCCATCTGTCTCTGCCCAGCACAAGGGCACTCTTAACTGCTGACGATCCTCCTGCCTCAGCTTTGTCAATGTTGGGATTATAGGTGGTGGCCATCATGCCAGTGTTCCTGAATCTATCCACGTTGATTCCAAGGCAGGTTGCTGTCACTGGGTATTGGCCTTCACAGTTCTGCTGGGAAGTTTCCCCTCATCTGTACAGGGCTCACCCCCTACTGCATTTAGAAGACTTATATGAATCTCAAAACTTTAGAAAGGACCCTTGACAGTGACACTTAAAAATGGCCTTGCAGTCAGGTAGTCAGGGGACAGGTCTACAGTCTTGGCCCTATGTATGGAAGGCTTGGTGGAAACATCCGGTAAGGAGAGTAGGTAGGAGACGGTGGGAAGTAATCATAGGCTGGAATCACTCACCCTGAAGGCTGGCGAGCTGAATCCACCTGGGGAGACCCAGGAGAGAGCAAGGTGGTGGGTCACTATACACTGACAGAACACCTGCTGTGGTGCCAGCAGCATGTCAGACACTGGGAGACATTAGAAAGTCACAGATAATAATGTCTGCCCTAGTGAGGCTTGTACTCCACCGAGCAACAGATCATACCAATAGTATAAGAAGCATGGAGACCTAGGGCGGCAGAGGCAGGCAGATCTCTGTGAGCTTGACAGGACAGCCAAGGCTACATAGATAAACCCTGTCTGGGAAAACAAAGCAAAAACAAAAAGAAGACAAAAAGAAGAGGAGGAGGAGAAGAGGAAGAAGAATAAATAAAAAGAAACATGGAGTCCACATTGAGTACTAAAAGGTCAATGTACCAGAGGAAAGCTGGAAAAGTTGACAGTCCTGGGGCCAAAGGCCAACTTCAGTCGCTTGTAGGAAAATAGCACTCCCATGCCTTAGGGATATGGGAAAATTTGTGTGCTCTTTCTCTCTTAGCAAAAATAAGAACAAGAATGAAATCACACACACATACAGAGTGTGAGAGAGAAACATACTATCTGTGAACACTGTTTGAAGGGAACCATTCTTTCATTCTACCTGACTACAGACAAAACATGTTGAGGAGTAGGGATGGGAAATTACTTTGAATAGAAAATACACATCAGTACTGGATCACCTCTAGGGACCAGACAGCTTCTAGGGACAAGCAGCAGCTTAAATTAGGTCCCTACTGGCGATAACCCTGAAGGGCAGCCGCCACTCAACTGTCTGTCTTCTGTCTTGTTTCCCTGGTGCTGGAGACTGAACCCGGGTGCTCTGCCTCTGAGCTGTTTATTGTCAGCTCATCTTTCTCCACCCTTCCAACAGTGAACTCCAAGAGCCCCCTCAGCTCCATTTCATCCCCAGGAAGGCCATTATCAGATGTGAAGAGCTTGGGCCAAGGACTCCACAGTGAGCAAGCAAGGAGCACTGAAGGCCCCACCCCCAAGCAACCAAATAAAAGCAGGTTAGGGCCCTATCTGGACCCTGCTGAGTGGGAGAACAATGGCCATAAGCAACACAATGCAGCAGATACTGAGGAACCAAGAGCACAGGCTGCAAGATTTCCTTTCAGATAGGACAGTGGTCCGTGCTTATCTTTCACAGATAGGTAACTGGGCATTCCAGAATGCTGTCTGCTACTTGCTTTAAACAAACATTTTGGAGAGCGGTGAGGGGAAGTGAAATAACTCAGGGAAGGGTTGGTAGCTGTTCCAGTGGGATGTGTTTAAGAACTACATAAAATGCTAGGCATAGTAGTGCATGCCTTTAGTTGCAGCATTCTGGATGCTGAGGAAGGCAGGTCTAAGTTTCAGGCTAGCCTGGACTACATTGCAAGTTCTATACCAGTCAAGGCTACACAGTAAGCCCCTATCTCACAAATCCAAAATACCAAACCAAACCACTCATATGCTAGTGTGGTGTAATTCCAGTACTCAGGTAGCTGAGGCAGGAGACTTGTTAGTCAGATGCCAGTCTGTGTTGCAGATTGAAACCCTGTCTCAAAAGAAGAAACTGGACTCAGAAGGCAGAGGCAGGTGGATCTCTGTGAGTTTGAGAGCAGCCTGCTCTACACAGTGAGATTCAGAACAGGCAGGGCTACACAGTAAGGCTTTGTCTCAAAAACAAACAAACCAAAAAGCAAAACACTAATGACCTCTCCAGTGCTTTGACTTGACAGTCTCTTTACCCAGTGCAGCTAAACTGGTTCCCCGATGCCAAGGCTGGGGCTGGTGGTGCAGGAAGACTTTTTGGTAGCAGGAAGTGAGTTCCCTTTCAGCAATAACAGGCCACATTACAACTAGTCAACTAATTTAATGGCAGAAGGATGTGGACTGTTTTCTTTTCTTTTTTTTTTTTTTTCCTGCCTTTGTTTTGAGAGCTAGAGTAATGAGAGAGAGACAGAGAGAGTAATATTAGGTAGCACAGGCTGGCTTCAAACTTGTGATCTTCCTGACTCAGCCTCACATGCGTTGGAATTACAGGCATGAGGCACACCAGCAGTCTTTATATTTTTATTTTTAATTTATCATAAAAATATCATAGGCTAGCTGGGTGGTGACACACGCCTATAATCCCAGCACTTGGGAGGCAGAAGCAGGCGGATCTCTGTGAGCTGGAGGCCAGCCTGTTCTACAGAGCAAGTTCCAGGACAGCCAGGGCTACAAAGAGAAACTGTCTCAGAAAACCAAAAAAATGAATGAATGAATAAAAAAAAATCAGACTGATATTTCCATGAAATGCAATAAAAATTAATTTCTAGAGACATGAACAAAAAAGGCACTCAGAATATAAGTCCTGCTCATATTTTGTGATCCCAGAAACACTGGGACAGGAAGACTGTTGATAGTTCAAAGCCACCCTGAGCTACAGAGTGAAACACTGTCTCAAAAAAACAAACAAAAAATCCAAATAGCATAGTGAGTCAATAAAGCCCTGGGTTAAGTGTGGGGACTTGTGTTGGACCCCTAGAGACCACTTAATAAAGCTGGGAATGACGATGCTCACTTGTACTTCAGCACTGGGACCTGGCCAGGCAGACTACCCTAACAGGTGAGTTTCAGGCCGGTGATAGACCCTTCTCAAAAAACAAGGTGGTTGGCTCTGGTCTTCTCACATAGGCACATACCTGCACATAGAGAAACATGCAAAAATAATGGTAACAAACAAAAAGGAAAAAATGCATTAATAAAACTGTTACACAGGGCAGTGGAGGCACACACCTTTAATTGCAGCACTCGGGAGACAGAGGCAGAGGGATTTCTGTGAGTTTAAAATTAGCTTGGTCTATAGAGCCAGTTCTATGACATCCAGGGCTACACAGAGAAACCCTGTCTCAGAAAAAAAAATTTCATTACACCGTTACACATGGCGGTGCATGCCTTTAATCACAGCACCCGGGAGATAGAGGCTGGTGCATCTTTGTGAGTTTAAGGCTGTCCTGATCTACATAGGGAACTCCAAGACAGCCAAAGCTACATAAACACTATCTCAAAATAAGCAAGCAAGCAAACAAAAAGTATTATGGGATAGGGGTTGGAGAAGAGCTCTTAGCATGGGGGAGACCCTGGATTCTAGTTCTAGTATCACACCACAAAACGAAAAGAACCAGTTATGGTAGGGCATACATCTGATCCCAAAGACAGAGGCAGGAGGCTCTCTCTGAGCTGGAGACCATTCTCTACATAGCAAATTTCAAGACTGTCAGGGCTACATAGTGAGACTCTGTTCTCAGACAGACAGACAGAGACAGAGATTCAATGACACTGGAGAACCCTGTCCTTCAGTTTCTGAACCCAGAATGCAGACTCAGCATGAGCTTTCATGGCCTCTCTGCTGTGTCAGCAAGCTGTACCTGGGTTCACAGGCTTCTTAGAATACTACCAATCCCTCAGATAAAATGTACAATATTGGCATATAATCACTGTACCTCTCAGTCCCTTACACCCCCTAACACATCGTACATACATATAATGCTAGTTATACCACTTTGAGAAGAATGAACAAAAGCTGTCTGTCCATGTTGCATACAGCCATGATTTTTAAAAATGTTTAAGGCTTATGCTGTCTCTCCTAACTTTAAAAATGTTTTTGATCCTTGGATGGTTGCTTGAGTCCACAGATGCAGACCATGGAGAGCTGTGACATTTACCTCCTTACCCAGATTCTGTGTGCCCTGCCATGTCTGGCTTTTACTGGGTGCTGCTTGGACGTCTCCCCAACTAAAGGAAGGCTCATGTAGCAGTGTTGTCTTTTTGGAGCTGCTGAGAGTCAACTCACCATTCGGAACCAGAAGGAGGCTTTTCATGATGCTTTTGAGGGGGCCAAGACTGATCTGATTAGTAGTGGCAAATTCAGAGAGCTGAGCCAGAAAGCGTTCCACCTGCAGAGAGGGGACAACACAGACCTTTCCTTACCTTTTAAAAAGATTTGCTTTATTTATGTACATGAGTATTCTGCCTGCACGCATGTTTCACGGGATCCATGAAACAAGAATTACAGAGGACTGTGAGCTGCCACGTGGGTTCTGGGAACTGAACCCAGGTCCTTTTTTTTTTTTTTGGTTTTTCGAGACAGGGTTTCTCTGTGGCTTTGGAGCCTGTCCTGGAACTAGCACTGTAGACCAGGCTGGTCTCGAACTCACAGAGATCCGCCTGCCTCTGCCTCCCGAGTGCTGGGATTAAAGG